GATCTTGTAATCTTTAATAATCTTTATTTCTGTATTTACATGTATTGATCCACTCCCTCATAGTATATTTATTTAACGAGAAAACCCACATTTGTCTTATTATTATAGAAATTTTGTTCAAATTCTAAGTCATTCAAAGTTATACTTTATAAAAATTTTTACATTTAACATAATAGGTAAATTAGTACTTTTTAATAATTTCGAGATGTTATTCTTCTTTTTAAACTTGTAATACATTAAAGTAAATTTTAGCTTTATTTATTGGAAAAAGTACTAGCTTTGTAGGATTTCTTATTATTTTATATAAAAATATCTACAAAATAATAAATGACTAATTAATTAATTATCTACGTGTAGTAGTTGGTTAGGCACGAATTTACGGGTAAACACTTAAGTGTAGAAGCAAATGCCCTTTTTGCTTCCAATTTACTCTTATACTATTATTATGTTTGGATAAGGATCCATACATAAATTTTTTTTCGTTTTTTATTTGCTGTGTTACTGATGAGCATCTTTTTTTCTGTCGAACGGTATATTTTATCAACTTGTGGGTCAGTAAAGCTAATGTATTTTTTTGGTGGTCCAACAGAATATAAACTAAAACAAACATTTTGATATTGCTGCGTAAGAATGATTCAGAAGGCGTTGAAGCATAATCATCAGCCCGGCCCTTTCAAGACTTGATCTGGTTGTACACTGGTAGGCAAGTGCTTTCAGTAAATAATATGGCTTCGAAAGCTTCATTAATACTCTAAGGTTTCAAATGAACTACATTTATTTTCCTAGCGTCAAGTAGGCCTTTATTCGAAGTTATAATACTGGTTTTTTCAATTGTAGTGTTTGTTCTTTTTTTATGTTTTTGTCACCAATTAAGTTATGAAAAGTTATGAAAAAATTAAGAGTTGTACCGATAAAAAAAAACCTTGTTTTAATAAGAATTATTAACTGATCCCGTTAAAGTTCTTGAAAACTCTGCTAAGTACTTACAGTGAAATTTAATAAAAGAAAGTTTTTATTTTGAATGCTGTTTTTGAGTTATCTATAGATACTGGTGGACGTATAGTTTTCTAAGCTTCCTGGAATTTTTTTCTTCAAATCTTGAAATAATTGTTCTTAGATTCATAGGTCCTTGAGCAGCAGTAACTTTAATTCAACTTTAACTGGTTTGAATGTCTTACAAAGTCTTTTAAAAGTGTCAAGTTACTATTACCAAACAAAACGTTTTTGTTTTTTGATTCATGCCACTTATTTAATTGGTAACGTTGAAATCAAGTGATATGTTTAAATATTAATGTGAATAGAGTAAATGTATCCGACCAGAAAGCTTAAGAGAGCTTCGTGTTGGGCCTATTTTGGTTACCTAGTTACCTATGTAGATCCAATCAGGGCAAATATATAGGGATAGATGGTGCAGTGTAATGGGGTATTATGTGGGGCCAACGTGGGCATCTTAAATAACAGTAAGCGTAAAAAGAACAGAAGTAGAAAAGTAAAAAAATTTTTTGAAATGACATTTAATAGTTAATGCTAAAAATATTTTCTAAACTTGTAAGTAATTCAATGTTGACTGGTCACAAATATATACTTAATGATAGTTAATTAATAAATAAT